TTGACTCGGAGAACAGGCAGTTCAACAATGAATGGACAGAGAAATACTCGTTTATTGCAGTTGATGCGAATCCTGTGTGCTTAATCTGCAACGAGTGCCTCGCCGTGTGTAAAGAGTATAATTTAAGAAGGCATCTCAACACAACGCATGCTAACTTCAACGCGACTTTCCCACCGGGCTCAGCCGCTCGGAGCCAGAAGATTTCAGGGCTCACATCTTGTTATGAGCAAAGACGTCGCATATTGTTTCGGGCCTGTACGGATCAAGAGAGAGCGACGGCTGCATCGTTACGAGTGGCATGGATATTGGGAAAAAAGAAAAAGCCGTTTACAGACTCGGAGATAGTCAAGGAATGTATGCTGGCATCCATTAATGAGGTGGTAACAGATGAAAAAACCCGAAAAAGCGTTATTGATTCGATCAAGCAAATTCCAATATCTGACACGTCAAATATGAGGAGAGTCGAGTCCCTTGCCTCGGATGTTTTCGAGACACTTTTGGACAAGCTGAGGAAGGCTGAGGTGATGTCTTTGGCCGTGGATGAGTCGACCGATAACGGTGATGTTGCGCAGTTGTGTCTCTATGTGCGATTTTTTGATGGAGAATGTTTTCGCGAGGATCTGCTTGGACTAATTCCTCTGGAAGGGCACACCACTGGTGAGATTTTATTCACCAAAATTGCTTCATTCTTTGAGGAGAACAACTTGGATTTGGCGCGCGTCAACATGCTGGTGACGGATGGCGCGCCCTCGATGGTGGGCAGGGATCAGGGGCTTGCCGCGAGGATGGCAGCTTTGGCTCCACGTATGAGATCGCTACATTGCCTCATCCACCAAAGCCTTCTGTGTGCCAAACTCAGTGCTAAGTTAAAAGAGACCATGGACTCTGTCATGGCAATTATAAACTTTATCCGTTGCACCTCCAGTTTACAGCACCGCCTTTTCCGCCAGCTGTTGACCGACATGTCTGCTGAATACAAAGATTTGCTCATTCACAATGACATTAGATGGCTTAGCAAAGGAAACGCATTGAAACGTTTTTGTGAACTCAAAGAGGAGATTCTGGTGTTTCTCCAGTCTTCAAAAATGAAAAAAGCTGGCAAGTTTCTGTCTCTGATGGGAAATGATGATTTTAATGCCACTGTTTGCTTTTTGAGTGACGTTTTCCATCATTTGAATCAACTCAACATGGAGTTGCAGGGCAGGGATAAAACAGTCTCAGAACTTGTGGAGAAACTTCATGCTTTTCTAAGAAAGCTCTCACTCTTCTCTGCTGATCTTTGTCCTGGGAAGATGCTCCACTTCCCCATATTAAGGAAATCTGGTCTGCAAATTACTGAGGTGATGTCAGGCTTTATTGACTCACTGAAAAACAACTTTTCCACCAGGTTTGATGATTTCAGCATCTCCAGCGAAGTGGTGAGATATGTTAAGGACCCTTTCTGTGTGAATGTTGAGACAGACTTTGCATTGAAAGGAAAGGAGCTAGTACCATCATTGGATGAAGGTTTTTTACAACTGGAACTCATTGACATTCAGTCGTCAGATGACTTGCGACAGTCATTGCAGCAGGCAGGTTTTGAAAAATTCTGGACTCATGTAGTCAGCCAAGAAAAATTTCCACACTCAAGGGGTCTTGCACTTTTTCTTCTGACAATGTTTGGCTCAACATACACTTGTGAGTCGTCATTCTCACACATGAATGCCATTAAAACTCACAATCGCATATCCCTCACTGACCAGCATCTGCAACACTGCTTACGCATTGCCCTGACAACATATACACCTGACTTCACTGCTCTTGCTAAGTCAAAAAAATGCCATTTCTCTCATTAGATGCAAATGTTGGCAAACTACATGCAAAGTGACAGTCATGTTAGTCAAACAAGTAATGAGGATTGATTTTTTAACAGTATGATGCAATTAACATGTTATTCACCTCATAATATGCACTTAATGTTTTTTTTTATATGGTATGGCTCAACTGAACTGAATATTGAAGTGTCTGATGCAATTTCAATATAGGCAGATAAAGGAAAAAAAATGTAAAGAGAGGTCTACTAAGGGACTGTTATAGTGATTTTTTTTTCTCATGTTAGCAGGGCTAAAATGGCTGAGGTTATTATTGTTGAAAGCAGTTTGAAATGTGCCTTGATAAAGTTCACTGTTATGTTGTTGTAATTAGAAGCATACTATGCAGTTTTGTTTTTTATATTTGTTGGTGCACTTGGAATTGAAATTGTTTGTCAGTTAAATGAATGAAAATGTAAACAACTGACAGTAGTAGTCCATGTGTGGATTTATGTGTATATGTTGTTCTGCATTTACAAAACAGAATATATTGATTTCAGTATGTTGTAATTTCTTTTTTTGTTGCCGTGATTACTCATATTCTCTGGCCCCTTATTTTGCCTCAGATTCATGAACTGGCCCCAGTTCCAAATTAATTGAATAGCCCTGACCTAGAGGGTCTGATCATACCTTTCTAGAGCAATCACCAGACACCACATAAAATGTATATAAACAGGTATTTACATGGATGTAACATGCAGACTTACTCAACACTGGTGGTTTTGGTATGACTTCTTGTTTGATATGTTCTTAGTTTTTGAATCCTATAATGCCAAATGTATCATATTTGATACATACGGGTTCTGAAGTCTTTTGGATCTGAGACTTTTAGCATCGTTCAATGGTAAAAGCTCAAACCCCTGTTGTACACATTCAGATATACCTGATGACAGCGACTAAAAGACTACTCGAAAATATATTTTTGACTTATTGCACGCTAATTTGATCAAAATAATTATATAATAATACTTTTTTTTTTTTCTTCATATGTTGTTGAGGGGCCAAAGAAAGACTTCAGGCTAAAAAAATACAATATTTTTCCTATTTTTCTTGGATCAGGCTTTAAAGGGTTAAGCATATCCCAATAGGTTTAAGTTTCTGGTTTTGAATTTCTAACCTTTGTTAAATTAGTGGTTTGTTCCAATTATTTCTTATCACCTCTTGTGCCTGTTGGCTGTTAGTACGTTACTTTGATTCTGTATTGTCAATTAAAAAAGCAATACATTGCAGATAACTGTACAATTAGTCTTTTAATTCAGGTAAAGGTTAGATAATGAGGATTGATCATCTCCACAAGGCTTTTTTCAGCCTTTTACTTCATGTGACATGTGGGAGAGCTGAGAATGGAGAACATCAAACACAAAACAGTAAAAAGTACATAATGTATTTGTAAAATCTCAAAAGATTCTTTATAAAAAAAAAACAGCCCTCCATTTCCAAAAATTCCATTGTACTACTGCGGTGTCCATGGCAACACACCTGTCCGTTTGGGGCTTCTCCTGCCAGCGGTTGGTCAGCCAGTCGATACGGCGTGTAATGACCAGGAGTGCCGGTTGATAAATGTAGTGTGTAGGTCATTGTGTTTGTTTCTTTGTGGTGTGTGTGTGTGTCTGATTTGGGTGACTGTGGCTGTGGTGGGATCTGGCTCTGGGGTTTTCTGTCTTTTGACACGCCATGGCTCTCGGGGAACTGAGTCAGTGGGGCCGGGGTGTGGGCTGACCACCGGGGTGTGGGCTGACCACCGGGGTGTCCGGCCTGCTCGGGTGTCAGGGTGGGGCCTCTGCTGGGGGGCTTGGGTTCTGGTTCTCAGCCTAATGTCTGGCGAACAGGGCTTTATTCATCCTTTGTTTTATTAACCCCTTTTAATCCTCCACCATAAATGCCTAAAGTAAAAAATCCCAAATTAAAATGACTGCAACTGCACATGGTCTTACCAGTACGGGAGAACCATCTTTAGTTTCTAGTGAAACTGTCAGAAACACTCTGGGTTATACAAAAAAAGAGGTATAAAAACGATGAACTCGATGATTTGGTCCACATTAAATCCAAATAATCTATTTCAGGATAACTAACTATCTGTGCCTTTATCTGAAAGCATGAAAACCTGTACAGGCACGGCTGCACAAAGTACCACTGTTTCATTAAAGGGACCTCTTCATTGACAATCTTCCTCAATTCCTCCTGGACACTAAAATAGGTTTTTGACTTACTTTTTTTATTGGAAATGTAAAAAAGAGCCATTCTGTGCTGAGTCGGAACTGGAAAAGCACCATAGACTAGATACTGGGAGCCGGAGTATGCCTTTTTTCCCATTTAGCGCCACAGTACTTAAACCTGTAGGAACACCTATCCACTCTCAAACGTAAGAGCTAACCGATGTTTCCATTTTCTCTGCAGCAGATAATGGAATCTCATTCACGGGCTGTGGCCACATCAGCCTTGGAAAATAAAAAAAAATCCAAACTGCAGGAACCACAGCTTCAACTTTACCTGGAAGTCCTGATATATCTGTACTATTGCAGTCCCCTAGCAACATCTTTCCAAAACAGCACTACCAGGTACAACTCTTTACTGACTTTTTTTTCCTATCGCTTCATTTCTCTCTACTGATTGAGATGCTTCTTGACTAACTCCGCTTGATTTTCATACCAGCCCACTTTAGATATTTATCAAGTGTCTCAATCATTGTCCTCATACATGGCGCTGTTGTAGAGTTGTAGCATCATATAATTCATGTAAGCAGCAGTTAGTGTAGGACACATGCCTTCCTGACGTCTCTCTCCACCTACAACCCACTTGGAAGCTCTGATAATTATCTCCATTGTAACTGCAAATGAAGAAATCGCATACCCTGACATTATGCCTATGTCTACCCTCAGCCATCCTGTTATGAAACCTGCTGTACTTAGGCATAGGCTAATGTCAAGAAAATATACTCTGAGTTTCCAACTACCAACGGCACTCTGAAATGCATGTGCTAAATCCAGATATATAACATGCAAGTCCTTTTTCTCAATGGCAACTGTCTGAATCTGATGCTAAACCATGCCAGTGTGCTCTAAATTGAAACCTGGTATCTTTGCCTTTTGCACAGAGGTACCTATAAGGCAATTGCTTTCTAAAGAACAAGCAAGTCTAAATGCAGTGACACTGAGGAAAATATGCTATTGCTATAGATAGGCAACCAAATCAAATATGATGAATAATTAAAAAGCTATTCTGCAAAAGAGATGTGTGGTAGAAATGTTTAGAGTTCATCATGAACGTGTTGCTTTTAGCTGATGTCACACATAGAACATAGTTTTACAATCATTACAAGAAATGGAGCTCCTGTTTACATAATGTTACCTGACTTTACACATTATAATTCAATTCTGCAGGAATTTCCACCATGTTATTACCTTCCATATCACAAGACACTTTTTTTTTTACATTGTGGTCTGCAGTCACTCAAAATAAGAAGAACAATTTTTTAAAATCTGTTTAACCAACAGCTTTTTTCTCATCTCTCGTCTCTTCCTTTTTAATTTTCTGTTCCCTTTTGGCATAAATCTACTCATCTCACCTTCCATTAATTTACCAGTGCTCTACCCATCCTCCACGTCTGATCCAACCCAGCCCTTTGCCTTTCGTTCATCCTTTTCCTCCCCCTTCCCGTTTATGGGCTGAATGGCGTCGGGTCAGGGCTGTAACCTCCCTCTGCCCTCCCCTCTATCTCCACTCAGTCTATCTTTGTTGAAAAACATAAATAACAATTTCCTATCGCATCAGGCTGATTAGGCCAGCAGCTGGGACAAATAACTTCATTACCGAAAGCAATACTTTTGTGTTTATATATTTCACCACACATGACAGGGTGTCAGTCAGTAATTTCATTAGATTGTATTCTCTTCCGCTCCTTTTGAAGGGATGCGGTGCCTGTTAGTGTAGATGTTCAACTTCAAATGATGCCTTGCGATATGATATTATATGATATGATATGAAAAGAAATCAGTGCCATCATTAGGTGTATAGATTCCAGAGACAAATACTAAGTGTGAAAGTCTAATACTATGGAAAAGAAATGGCAGACGTGGGTGTGCTTTTGTGTGTGTGTGCGCGTGTGTGTTTGTCTGTGTGTGCCTGTAAATCAGATTGACGGTGGCCATAATTAAATTGTATGTGCTCTCGAGGATCATGTCTGCCTCCCTCCATCACCCCGTCCTTTTTGCTTTGTATCTTTTTACACAGAGAGCGGCGGTTAGTCATTTCGCCAGAGAATCTTTTGCTTCAAAATATGGCCGTCTGGGGTTTTTTCTATGTTTGGTTTTTCTGTACAATTATTCACACTAATGTGCCATCTAAGCTGGGTCGCTTCTCATTCCACAAAAAAAAGAAACAAAAATTATTCCCACCTGCTTTTTTTGTTTAGGGAAAACTCTGGGGAGACATTTGAATGCTTCTAACTTCTAGTTTTGATTTAGTTTAGAAAAGTAAAAAAATGTAGATTTTTTTCTAAGATTTGTGTGAAGATGCAAGAAGAAATCATCATTTAAGCATAATTTGACAAAATTGGACCTTAAATGTCATTATTCAGAACTCATAGCCGATAATGAATTAGACATCTAAATAAACAAACAATATTGATATAGCCCGTTTTTGGGTCTAATTATACAGGTCTCAACCATATCAGCTGAATACTTTAGAGTGCATCTGTTTACATATAAATTATATGGCATGAATTGAAAAATAAGGTGAAAAAATACTCAAGTTATCGCAAAACAAAATTATATGTGGAGTAATTACTGAGGTAATTATGAACATTACAGCCTCTATTGAATATGACTCATCGCTGATAGCAGGGAGGATCTTCTTTGTGTTTCTCATGTGCATCGGAGCTGAAGAAGCTTCAGACTGATTCCACTCTGTTGTTTTAACGGGATGTTATGAGCAGGACAGTGTTGTTTTCTACGTTAGCCAACTTGTTCTTTGCATTCTTCTTTGAACAATCAGCTCCCGGTGACTCCCCAGAACAGAGGAAAGCTCAATCATCAGTTTGTTCTTTGACTCTGATGCTGCTGTCCTACTCAGCTCTCCCCCAAAGACAGATATACAGTGCCCTCCATATTTATCGGCACCCCTGTTTAAGATGTGGTTGAGGATTTCTAAAAATTCTCCATTTTTTAAAAACAACAAAGAACCCAAATGCAAAAAAAGAAAAAAATCCAACCTTTTATTTAAGTACATTACTTTGGTGGTAAAAATA